ATTTATAGTAGACAATTTTATACTATATACTTTATATTAAATAAAAATTTAAATGTGTATGTGTTTATTCTAAGCATGTATATATGCATGTTTTTATTATTTTCCTGGAGAAGCCTCTTTACACTAACAATATGAAATACTTTTTTGTCCTGTAGATTCTACAGATCATGTTTTCATGTTTAATGTGACACCTTGCTTCATCATTAACGAATCTGTCTGGAAGGCTTCTCTTACCTGGATTCCAAGTCAGTCCCTTTTGACTAGACAATTATATTCTACAAGTGAAAAAAAAAAAAAAAACCAACGAGCAAAAAGTTGAAACGTTATCCTAAATGTCCAATTATTTAGGCCATCAGTTGCTGTGATTAAAAATGGAATAGATAAACTATGGCGATGGACAGAAATGGTGATTTGTGGAAATAAGTGTGTTTGAGTTTCACTTGTTTGAGCAGTTAGCAGAGCTCTGCACGCTAACTGGGACTGGACGTGCAAATCGGAGACGGTTTAGGTACACAGGCATTCATCTGGAAGAAGCAGACAAGCAGTTGCAGCACACTAAAAGATAAAGATAACTTTATGATGGCATTCAGGACAGTTTGTTTGCAACACCTGCTTAAAACTACAGGTGTGGGATCTCTCAGAGTCCTCATCTGAGTATTTATTTGGGTTAGCTGTGGAGCTGAGCAAAGTCTATTACCTTTGCAGAAGAAATTAAAACATTTTGAAATTGTTCACTCAAATATTTTTTAAGAATGATGCTTTTTGTTAAAAAAACAGTTTGTTTTGTCTGGAAATAACATAGTTTTCAAGATATGTATTTTTGTGGGCAGTCTTTAAAAAAATCATATTTCAGAGAAAAATAGATTTTATTCAAATAGCGTGTCTGCGTATGTTTTACCTTCCCTACCAGCTACCTTTTTCTTACTTGCAATGCCTTAATTAGGAAATGACATCACCTTTTTGAAGGTCATCTTCAATGTCTGGTATGATGGTGTTAAAGCATTACACTGGAAAGATGTCCTCTGCTGCGGAGCTGACGACGAATATTCAATTTGCGGAGCGCTGAAAGGAGGTCGGTGCAGAAAATATACGGTGCCTTTCCCTTGCCTGGCAGGTTCCCTCCACAACAGGGCCGTATCCTGCCAGCCCTTTTCACCACGAAGCAGGTTGCTTAAGGGACTAATTGATCGACCCATGCAGACAGATATTTCTCTCCACAATCTAGATCAAATTCGCTTTGTTTGGCAGGCAGCAGACTTCAGAATAGGCAGTCCTCCAGTGCCAGAACCTCACTTAAATAGAGAATTTCCAAATTCTATGCTTTAACATCCTTGTACTACAATTTCCATCTCTATGAATTAGAATTACTAATATCCTTCATCTCATTATAACGCTCCTATTGTTAACATATCTAAAATGACATGGAAAGGCTACATTTGACTGGACTGTACAGAAGACTGGAGAGGAGCTAGGAAAACTACTAATAGCCAGAACACAGTTTATTTAGGTGTGTCTAGGCGGTTTTTTAGAGAGGTTCTCTACACCCATATATAATGATTTTTTTTTTATTAAAGAAGAGTCAATCCTGTCGTAGGGGCTAACCAACATTAACATGACACAGGCTTGGATCCAGACAATTCAGGCAGGATGTCTGACTAAAGGCCAAAAAGTCCTGTAAGGAAGTCAAAATGCACAATCCATGTTTTCTTTAAAAATTAATGTCATCTCTCTTCAGTTATCATTCAGCTGAACTACTATTACAAGTTAAGTTATAGGATGGGTCTGTAGGAGATGTTGCAGGAACATCGTGGTTAATTTCTATTTTCTAGTGAGTTTTAGAGAAATAGGCAGAGCTCTCGGAGAAGAAACAGGTGAGGGCTTTATTGCTGGAAGAGTAAATGGCATTGGCACTGCTGCTGCGAGATATGCCATATTGCTTTGAAGTTATTTAGGAAGTTTGACTGATGGCTTTATAATTAACCATTTATATTATAATTATCTCTGTTTTACAGAAACAGTTGCAACATCCTTTGACATTAAAGGTGCAAGAACAAAGTTTCCAAAGGTACTTTTCAGTATTTTATATAAATAAATAACAATAGTAAAATCATATACTTACATGTGTATATTTTCTGAAAAGAGATATTCACCCAAACTGTCGAAAACAGCAAAAGGAAATGTCAGAGAACTTATGCTTGAAGTGATGACTGCAGAATGGTAGCATCTCTGAAATGCTAGGTGTCCTCAGGTTATTATTCCTCTATTATTCCTCCTTTATTTTATAAAAGAAAATACCACAGATATCAGTTAAGGTCACCCTAATAATTCCATTTTGGTTTTGTGAACTATTGTGTTTCCTTTTACCTGTTTGAGTAAATCCGTCCATACTCTTTCTGCCCATTTCATTCTTTATTTTATGTTCTTTTCATGTGCTGGTCTGTTCCTCCCCGAAACCCTTTTCAAAGATTTAAAGAGGGATAACAATATCCAGAAGCAAAAGCAATGCTCCAGCATTAAACCAGGAGCAACACCAGTCCTCAGGTTAGCCCACTCTCATCCAACACCTGCCTCATCAGCTGCCTGAGCCCTCTCAAAACCCTTACCATCCCTGTTAATCCCCACAAATATCACTAAAAGAGGCTCGTACTGGTACAAAATTTCCAGCGTCCCCTTAAGTCAAAGCTCATGGACCTCTAACAGTCCTCTGCGAGCCCCAGAGCTGGTAGTAGACAGCAATGTCCCCGGCCATAAGCAGTCCTCCTATAGAGGAGGTGCTTATTGCAGACCTGACACTTCCCGACAGGACTCTGCCAGAGCAGGACCTAACCCTAATCATAGCCTTTGCTGTAAATTAGGAATTCTTGCAAGTGTTCCAGTTTTTAGATTAGTCCTAAGAGCCCTTCAGCTACCAAGTGCTCATCCCCAGTTTGCCATACCACAAGAGGAAGGTGACAGGTGTCAGAGAAGGTAGGGTAAGATCTGGGTTCAGTAGGGGCCACCAAGCTATCTTCTGTCCTGGTGCCTACAAAAGTCTGTCGGTGTGAGGGTGTGAAGGTGGGTAGCTAGACAACAGCTAAACCTGGGGTGATGCTGCTTTATGGATCAGACTGCTGGATGTGCGTAAGCAAAGCGGTGGGTCTGGAAGGGATGCTGCGCTGATGAGAGGACTGGTGTTGCTTACAGCAGTGTGCACTGTGAGAAACCATGGCTGACTTAGAGCTGGGCTTACGGCTAAGGTTCAGGCAAGCAGTATCCCATTAGTCAGGGAGGAGATGCTCCATGCAAGGAGGTGAGCTGGACCCTGACAGTGTGATTTAAGTAGGCAGCTTGATACCTCACATTAGGAGAAGTTCTGGCTATATTTTGATGAGGGACTGAAGGATGACTACAGCACTCTTTTCACATGGGCCCTTCCTCCCACTCTCCTCTCTCTAGCATATTTCATCCTAATCTTGTCATCATATCCAAACTCAGGACACACTTTTTGCCACCAATAATAGTATGAGGTTGCTTTAGCTTTCATAAAGCAGATGTTTGATGTATTCACATCATACGTTCACTATAATTTGATGATTTTGGTAAACACCACTGAGGCTGAATAGCAGTTAAATATCCAGTACATGATCACAGCTGGAAACAAAAGGATGGACTGTGCAGCACAACAAACTCTGTTACAAGACTGGTCAGAAGCTCTGTAGTTTGTAGCCAGGAGGATTTCCCTAGGACTGCCTGTAAAATACAAAGGCTGTTATTGCAGCTACCTACGGTCTGCATACAGGTTTTGGGGCAAGACGGTGGCAGAAAGTCAACAGAAAATGGAGGCGTTGATAGGACTGAATCCTTGCTGGATGTAAGTTAAAAGGGCTATTAAGGTTACTGCCTCACAAAAAAGCCCATTATTGCAGAACGCAGCCTGGTCTATCAAGTCACTTAATTACTGTTTGTGGAGTCAGAAATGTTACCCAAGAGAACGGCTCTGGAAGGGGGAGCAGGGGGGCCCTCGGGAGCACAGGACTCTGGATTGAGAGAGGACCCTGAAAAGTGCAAGCTGATCAACAGCCTACTGCTGTTCCTTACTACCCTGGTCATGAGAAGAAAGCAGAGCACTGGTATTTATGTACACATATATCTGAATATACCCATGATAACAGTCCCTGATGGGAAACTTTCTTTTTCAGTCTTAACAGAAATCTCCAGAACCATTCCAAGCAGCTACTTGGACAAGAGCAGGCAGCATTATGCATTAATTTTCTTTCTTTTTTTTTTTCTCCTTGCTTGTTTTAGGGCAATTATACCATTATTTTACAAGGATTCTCTGATGATTCTGACAATAATATGGTCATATGCTTGAATTTCACCATGATAGTAAAACAAGACACTTTCTGAATGCGACAAACATTTCAAATAATTCCAAAATACGGAGGTCACTTCCTCAATCAACTGGAATCCGAGCTGCAAAATAATAAGCACACTAATTTTCCTGAGGTAGAATACACCATGCACTGTCTGGGTAAGCTATGCAATGGATAGTCTTAGCCATTTATAAATGGCACTGCTGTAATCAGATGCTCAGCCAATATGCAAAAAATCTCTGGGAATCAGGCGTCCTGATTAATCCATGGAATAACCCTGACTGGATGCCAGGCTGAGGACTGCATTTTGGTGCTGTGCCTTGAGTACTAAATTAATCTAAGAAGTTTTGAAGTTTTGAAGTGCAAGAATCAGAAGTTCACCAGCACTCAAAATATAACAGCATTTGAATCTAGAAACCCTGTTGGCTTGGTTTTTTTTTTTTTTTTTAACAATAAAATTTGATTGTACAATCAATTTGAGAAGTGTTTTTGATTCTCCTGTTATTTTCTGATTATCTTCAGAAGTTTCCTAATTTTATTTGCACCGAGCTGAACCAGGGGAGTAACAATTTGTTATGAGGTACTAGCTGATGTGAATAACATCCGAAGTGGAACACGTTCCCAGTTACACTGATCCCGTATAGCTGAATTTAGCCCTCCGGAGCGGTAACTGCAACCCTGTAGTGCGTTTTCAGCTCTTGCTCAAAGTCCAAGGGGCAGAGGCTACACAGGCTCCCTCCTTCAGAAGCAGGAGGATGGTCATGGCCCAACAGGTTGATCTTTTTTCTCAGTTACCAAAAGCATGTCTAAAGCTCTTACTGTGGCTTCTGCCTCTCAGGCAGCCTGACGTTCAGTACCCACCTTCCCTCTCTGCTGCACCTCCACTTCCGAGACCTTCGGTAAGATTTTGATGGAGTAAAAGATTTGGTCCTTAGGAAGAGATCTGGCATCATTTCAGGCTTCCTTTCATGCCACTGTATGGTGAAAGACAGCTGACTGGTGCAGTGTACAAATGCTTCCTGCCTTCAGACAGGTACCCTCCTTACGACGTTAGGATGCCATGTCCTCTTTTCATCCAGTGGTTCCTTTGTGAGTTCAGACACTTTTGTGTAATGAACGGGCCAGTGTTGAAGGTGCATGTTGCGCTGGCCACCAGGTCATGCTGTGTCTAGCAGATTTCTTCCAAATGCCTGGAAAAATGAAAAATGAGAAGAA